GGCTCATCGTGGGGTTCAGGAAGAAGTTGATCACACAAAACCTAATATTTTCTTTTATGAGCAGGAAGAGAAGAAATTGGTTTTTCTGCCTGTCAATAAATAAAATGGATATTTACCTCCTGCAGTGTCCACTCCTTGTAGTCTTAGGCTCAGCTTGGGGAATCTGAGAGTCCAGGAAGCCGCACCTGGAGCGGCTCGGCTCAGGGTGAAGAGCAGGGAACAGCGGGCCAGCGGGGACGCCCCCAGCCGACTCCCAAGGGCACTTTGTAAGGGTGTTGGAGATGAGAGCCGGGGACATTCGGCTGGGTGCGGAGACCTCCCTGGAGGGGAAGCGCACACTTCAGGGACCATTTCCTCTGTAACAGCAGAGAGCCACCAGTGCCCCGTCCCGCGGAGGGCAGTGCCCTGCTCCGCCTCCGCTGGGGAAGCCAAGCCCCCAGACCGCGCCCTCTCCCCAGGCAGTTAGGGCCATACAGGGGCCTCCCAGTCCATACGCAGCATGCCAGTCACAGGCGGTGTGCCTGGTGGCACAGTTAGCATTCACTTCTGCCAGGTTTTCCTGCCACAGAGCTAGAAGGTTAACCTCAGGTCATTTCTTTCATAAAGGAGAAAATGGTTCATCAAACTTTTACTCACATAGCCCCATTCTTGAGCCCTCTGGGCTCCTAAAATCTTACCAGAAATCAGCAATGAGAGGTCTCCCCTCTCCCTCCCTGGGCACCCACGTTCTCATTTTGATTAACACATCCATCACCCACCCAGTCATCCCCTGCATGGAATTCGCACTGGCTTTCCATTCCAAACTCCTGACCACGACACACAGGGCTCTCAGAATCCAGACATGGCCTGCCTCCAGCGTCTTCCGCACACACCCATCCCTTTAGACAGACTATTTGTCATTCTCCCCCATGCCATTGTTATAAAAGACCTGCAGCCTTTGTTCAGACCTGGAATATCCTTCCGCTGAACAGCAAGCGGTCAACCAAGACTCAAACCCTCGGAAAACCAAGCATCACCTCTGCGAAACCACAGACGCATCCCACGTACGAACTTACTGGCTCTCTGCGTACTCGGGGGGTGCCTCTGATGCCTCCCACACAACATCGCCCTGTCACCTACAGAGCTGCCGCAGGAAGAAGGCTGGTCTCATCTATGTTGTCTCCCCAGAGTTGTGGATGCATCTCTGCACACAGGGTGCCTTCGCAGACTGTGGCTAGAATACAAACGGCAGCACTGAAGCTGTGCCTTAAGGAACTAGTAGGACCTCTGAGGAGGAACAATAGGAAAAAAGGCCCTGAAGCCAGAAAATGTGGGCCCATTTGGGAAGCAGTCCAGTTTGCTGATACACGCATCCTTGGAAGGAAACAGATGTTTCAGATTCACAGCTATCTTGCCCCAACCTCAGACACTTAGCCTTTAATCAGTAGGAAATGATTATAACTCTCTACTAAAACTCTGCAAGGAGTGGGGTTAACATACAAAATATATAAAGGACTCATATGCCTCAGCATCCAAAAAACAAATAACCTGATTAAAAAATGGGCAGAGGACCTGAACAGACATTTCTCCACAGAGGAAATACAAATGGCCAATAAGCACATGAAAAGATGCTCCACATCGCTAATCATCAGGAAAATGCAAATTAAAACCACAGTGAGGTATCACCTCACACTGGTTAGAATGGACGCTATCCAAAAGATAAACAACAAATGCTGGAGAGGATGCAGAGAAATAGGAACACTGCTACATTGTTGGTGGGAATGTAAATTGGTACAGCTACTGTGGAAAGCAGTGTGTAGGTTCCTCAATAAACTAGAATTAGAAATACCACTCAACCCAGTAATTCCACTTCTAGGAATTTACCCGAAGAAAGCAAGATCCCTGATCCAACAAGATATATGCACTCTTATGTTTATTACTGCACTATTTACAATAACCAAGATATGGAAGCAACCTAAGTATCCATCAGTAGATGAATAGATAAAGAAGAGGTGGTACATATATACAATGGAATATTATTCAGCCATAAAAAGAAAAGAAATCCTGTCATTTGCAACAACTTGGATGGATCTAGAGGGTATTATGCTCAGTGAAATAAACCAAGTGAAGAAAGACAAATACTATATGATTTCATTTGTGGAATATAAATACAAAGCAAAACAGAAGGAACGAAACAGCAGTAGACGCACAGGCACTGAGAAGTGACTAATGGTTACCATGGGGGAGGGGTTGGGGCAGGTGCACGATGGGAGAGGGAGGGGGATAAGGAGCACAATAACTTGCATTCATAATATAAGTTAATCATGGCAACTGTTAAACCATTGTGATGTACATTTGAAAGAACATAAGATTGTATATTAATGATGCTTTAATTTCTTTAAATACTATGCAAGGAGTTGGAAAAAATTGAGAAGTTACACTACAATCAAGTCTCTAGGTATGATTATTTGTAAATGATAAAATGCATAGATCTCTTGGCAACAGATACAGGTCTCTCAAATCAAGGCTATAAAAACTAAACAAATGATACAGTGTAAAAAGCACTAAGATTTTTGTATGCAATTTCAACTATGTTAGGAAATGTTCCTAATATACAACCTTTAAAATGAAGGACAGGGTCCCAAGTCATTCTGATCAGGTCCTGGGGGTCGGGGTGGGGGGTGAAGGCCCATCATCAGAGCAACGTAGTGCACACCACTAGACCTGTAGGAACTCCATCTCTGCATCTCCCCCAGACCTGTCAGCATAGAGCACCCAGTCACAGTAATGAGATTTTCAACACCTTCCAAACTGACAAATGAAATGCCAAATGAAAGGACCTGGGAGAGCAAAACAACACAAGGCTTTCCCAGACCATTTCAAGTATTCAAAGCTAAGAAAAATACCAGACAAGACAACCCAATGTACTCTTTCCAGATCTTTTTTTCGGAGGGGGTGCGGAATGAACAAAACAAATCCTTCAATGCGGTTATGACCATTCTTTGTTCCTTGTCCCACCTCCTTAGGAACAGACTGACCTTCCCACCTATCAGTCCCAGAAGGGCTGTTAAACACCACAAATGTTGATAGCACTCTTTCTGACACTGTGAGATAAAGGAGGGTAAGAAAAAACAATAAATGTCCTGCCACTGAGAAATAAAATTGAAAAAATTAAGCAATAGGATATAGAAGATTTCCAAGATTTCATGTTGTTGAACAAAAAAGAAAAGTAAGGCATAGACTAGGGCTTGTACAGTGTGTTCCCATTTGTATAAAAACGTATATGGTGTATACATCTGCCTATATAGGAATGTCTTTGCATAGAAATTTTCCAAATGATATACAAAAAAAAAAATCATTGCTCTAAACAATAGGTCAGGTGGGTGGGGTCAGAAAGACATTTTTAATCATGCATCATCTTATACTATTTGTTTATCATGTGCACGTGTTTCTTTAAATTTTTTAAATTGTAAATACAACAAAAGTTAAGGGGCATCACAAGTCTGGAAACAATTGCAAAGCAAGTAAATAAAAGAGAAACCAACATTTAATCGATTAAGGTCTAAGAGCCACGCATGCCTCCCTGCCACCTCCCAGTAACTACCCCCCATGGGTGTGGCTATGATGTTGTTTCTGGCCCCTGGAAGCCAGCCTGCAGTCTCACCTGGTGCTGTTCTGACACCTCAGTCAAAGTCACAGTTGGCTCTGACTCAGAGCTTTTTCTAGTATGTGGAATGCAGCCAAATTCGGATGGTTTCCCAGGGAAGGTAAATAGTGTGTTGGAGATTGAGTTAAAACAACTAACTCCTTTTTAGCAAGCCAATGAGATCAATCCAGGGCTTGTAAAATATCACCTAAATTGTTTATTACTTCCTTTACTTTTTTCCTCTTGAAAAACTATACAACACACACACCATTTTCAACTTAGGACGTGCTAATTTAAGAACTATTTATCCCATGTAGAAACTAAGCATGCATGGCTTCTTTACTTCAATTGTGCTGTTGGAAGCAAGGTAGGTACTTCCCACTGTTATTGTTAATAACACGAATTAAACTTCTATAATATCTGTTTCAGTTACCATGTGCCTCTCTCAAACCCTTATCAAATATTGCCCTCTAGTGGACTATTCAGTAAAATCTTCAGCTAAAAATAGATACTAAGGTTTGAGATGTTTTAAAAGAGATGAATACATGCATCTTTTAAAATAAAATGTTCGCCATCCAACAATAACTTCAATTACCTCTGTCTTTCCTAAAATGTTGGCATTGTCTTCATTTCCTTAAATATTTAAAATATCTACCTTGCTTGGAAAATTTTACCTTAACACTCAAACCCAGACCATTTTCCAAGGCCCACCTGAGTTGACTTCCAAACACCTCACAGAATGTTCAAATATATACTATTTTATAAGAGTTGCTTCTAGAACTGTGTAGCTATTCACAGTAACTTTAAAATACATATATCAGCAACCCTGTTCTGAGTCTGAACATTGTTAAAGCGGAGCTAAAAGAAGACCGACTTCTGCAATCACATGAGGGCGTTTTAAGCAGTGGGGCCCGCCGAGTTGCCGTCCTTGCGCAGACATACTGGCAGCCACTCGGAAACTTCTCTCTTGCCTTTCTGCCTCACCACCTGGAAGCCCTTCGTCGCTTACTTTAATATAACTCGGGACCAAAACACACACGCTGCCAAGTTTCCTAAGCTTTAAAAATTACTATTTTTCAGCCAGCTCACCTTGTGTTTACAGCATACGTTTTCCCCCTAAGAAGTCCAGAATGCCGTGTCCTGACCTCCACAGAGCGCTTCTTAACCCTTTTCCTACCAGCAACCATTCTGAACAGCAGCGATGCGAGCATCCTTTCAGCGCCCGGGGCAGAATCCCCGCCTCAGAATCCAGCTCCCATTCCCCAGCCTCACCCATCACCCGGTTTTGACAGCTACCCATTCAGACTCAAGGGGGAAAATATATTTAAAATAGCAAAGAGCCTGCGCTTTTCACTGCAGGCCTTACTCTACCGACCTTTCTGAGCAGCGGTGCCCGGCGCCCTGTGCCCGCTGCAGCTCCGCACCAGGCCCCCCGCGATGACTGTCGCCCGCGCCCCGCTCAGGTGAGGCCGGGGGACAGGGAGGCCACCCGGCGCGGCCCGCAGCGCTCCCCCTCCGGGCGACCCTGCGGGTCCCTTAGGAGGCGCGCTCAGGCTGGAGACACGGCTGCGCTCAGCCAGCCCGGAAGGTCACCTCAGCGTCCTCACACCCAGCTCAGCACCCTGGCTTCCCACTCTAAAGCCAGCGCTATTACCTTCTCTCAGCAAGCAGTCCACATTTAAAACGACAAAAGCATAAGTAAATACCACCGTAAAACACACTTTTGTTTGAAAAGGTTGATTTTCACACCCAAGAAGAAAAGTACAAATAACAGAGAATTAAAATTACTATGGGGCGATTAGTCAAGGACCCTCCTAGGGCCACCACCCACCCTCCGCATTCAACTCTCCCCCAGTTTCATGCTAAGTGCCTGTTACTGTCACCTCTATTATAATTCTCTCTCCACTTACAATTATCACCCCTTGCATCTTCCCTGCGGTATTGCCCTTTGCTCCTGAGTTCTGTGTGCCTTTTCCTCTGGTGGAGACTTCAACACATTTTCTCAAACTTTTCTAAATATTTTATCTGTCCCTCCTTCACCTCGCTTTTCCTTGCTGAGAGAAACATGTGCATTATCACAGAAATGCTGCATTTGAAACAAGTTTTTTTTAATACCCTAACATTTGTGATAAGACAGCGTGGCATTTTTTAACACGGATGAAGAAATACCTGGAATAGGTTTTGCGTAACCAGGAGGAGGAGAGGAAGGAGAGAGGGAGAGAGGCAGGGGAAGAGAGAGAACCTGTCTGCAGCTCTTCAACAGACTGCACAGAAATGAAACAGAAACCCCAGCTCCCTTCTACTTAATTTGCAGTCTACGCAACTTGCAGGACCCAGTACAGACTGAAAATGAGGAGGAGCCCTTTCCTCAAAAGTTACTAAGAATTTCAAGTGAGAACAGCAGAGCAGTATTCCCGGCACAGGGCCCTTCGGAGTGCAGGGCTGTGTGCAGCCACACTACTCGCACGCCCTTGAAGCAGCCCTGTTTCCTAAAGTAAAACAGCAGTCATTCCGTGCTAGCTACTGCTTTGAGCCTTCTTCCCCACAGAGGTCAGCCCCATTGATCAGATAGGGTGATGGACTTGTCACAGTTTGCCCTAGACCGTCAGAGGGTGAGCACTGGAAATCCCACATCCCAGGCACCTTCTTAGCACCAGGCTGCTCGGCACAGTTGGTCACCACGCTCTTCTCTGTGGACCCATCCTAGTGACAGAGCTGTTCTCTGATTGTCTGTTGGTTTTAATTTCTTACTCTCAGAACCATCAGTGATCTCAGGCCAATCCTTATCTCTGTGAGAGGGTGTGAAGCCATTCCAAATGCCCCCAGATTTGTTCCCCTGTTTTTCATGCCCCCAGAAAGAAGGCTGCTGACCCCTGAGTCAGTGGGGTCAGAAGTGAGTGAAAATGTGCTATGTGCAACAGCATCTATCAGAATATATTGTAAATTAGAATTTGGAATTTCTACTTTAGAAAGAATGCAGTTGTAAGTCCAGGGAGAGGAAATCCTGGGGCAAAATACCTCTAAAAATCAAAAGCCGTCAAATGGAGAAATACAGTTTAAAACCCGTTTATTGCTTACAAACTGCAGTCCAGGGCCACCTTTCTCCTCTGTTCCAGAAGATGCAAGCCAGCAAGCAAGCCAGCCCCCTCCCCTTAACCCCTTAACCTCTCAGGTTCAGACACACCCTTGGTTGCCCAGGTAATTACCCATTGATATGGAGATGAACTTCTCTCCACCCCTGACAAATGATGCAGGGAGGATATGCCCTATATTTATTAAAGCCATACTTCTCTCCACCCTTGAACAACTGTTGATATGCAGATATACTAAAGCCAAGTGAGATATAATGGAAATATTACAATTTTACCCATAGGCCACCCCTCCAGAAATCTCACCTTACAATTTACTCATTTCCCCCTCTTCTGACCCAAGTAATGACATACAATAGCAACAACAATAAAATAATGACAATCCTCAAACCACAGGATTCAGCCTATGCAGATTAAGTAAATGTATTTTACAGCACAATCTCTCACTAAGCACAAAACATGTTTCTATACTTGTTTATTCATTCCTAACAACCATGCTAGATTGCTCACAAAACTTTTACCAAACATTAGACAAAGTCAAGCCTCTAAGCATTTTTTTCTTGACAACAGCAACACAATCAACAGAATCATGATAATTCTCAAACCAGAGGATTCAGCTGGGTTCAAAGTCTCATGAGGATTAAGTTCAAAGCTCGTCCATTCCAGCTATCATGCAACAGCTGCAGCCAGGGGGTGCATCCAGAACACAAGGACTCTAGAAGCAAATAACTGTGATTTGGGGGGGGGGCACTTTGCTGTTATTCCAGGAATACACAGGAGGCCAGCTTCCAGGCCTTTTCCCCAAGGTTCCAGAAGAGCCAGCCATCGCCAGTCCATGTGTCAAAATGTCCAGGACCAGGGCCATTTTATTCCTAATTACTGCACCCATCCTTGCAATGCATGTCCCATAAAGTGGGTATCTTGATTGCTCTCAATCACCAGCAACTGGCCATAGACTGCAAAGAAACGCTCTAGGCCCCTCTTGGTGGTTTGCTGATCTGCACAACATGCAGGGCACTCCTTCCGGGCTCAGCTGACTTCTTCAAAGGTCAGTGGCAAGTCCCACCAATGGGCTACAGCCCACATTGTCTTTTGCCCCACGTGCAACAAATGCTGATGTAGTCATTGGGTCACATCAGAGGCAGACTTTCCTTCTAGCCAGCACACGTGGGCCCATCTGTCTGCTTCATTATTCCCTGGGGATGCCAAAGGCAAATGGCCAGTCACAGGATATACGGTAGGTGTCTGTGCCACACTACTCCATGGCCTTTGAGTCCAGTCTCTCACCCACCCTGCAATGGAATAGGTGGTTATTACCTTGGTCGGAGCTGTTCCGGCGATGGGCTCCATAGCCAGCAAGGTGTGGCACACAGCAGCCAGTTGCTTCTCTATCAAGGTGACCAGACCTCTGCTCCTTTGCATAGTTGTGGCCAGGCTCCGACCAGCAGCAGGAGCAGCAGCCATGACAGAAGCAGTAGCCTTAGGTTCAGGCCATGGGCCAGGGTTGGTGTGGCCAGCAGTGGTGGTAGCACCTCCATGACCACATGAGTGTAGACACACTTCCCTCAGTGTGAGCGCCACTTCTCCCCATCATTTCTAGGGACAGACCTCCCAAAAGTTGCACCCATTATGACAGATTTCGGGTTCTGAGGAAATCTGTCAACTACTGCCAAAATGTAAGTCCAGGGAAAATAAATCCGAGGGCAAAATACCTCTAAAAACCAAAATCAATCAAAGGGAAAAATAAAGTTTAAAACCCATTTATTGCTTACAAACTGCAGTCCAGGGCCACCTTTCTCCTCTGCTCCAGAAGAAGCAAGCCAGCAAGCAAGCAAGCCAGCCCCCTCTCCTTAACCTCTCAGATTCAGACACACCCTTGGTTGCCCAGGTACTTACCCATTGATATGGAGATGAACTTCTCTCCACCCCTGACAAATGATGCAAATGCCCTAAAGCATACTCTCTCCACCCTTGAGCGCCTGTTGATATGCAGATGTACTAAAGCCAGGCAAGACATTCTGGAAATATTACAATTTTACCCACAGCAGTTTAGAAACTGCAGTTCAGGATTTGGTGGTTGTACACTTGTAGTCTTTTTTGAAAATATGTGATACAACATGAAGCACTGTTGCTGTTATAGACAATCTTACATTAACAAAAAATATACCCATGTAAAACCCGACAAACCATCCTTTAGTGCCAGGGGACAATCTAAACTCCAAATTGAGCTTCACATGCTCATTTACTATTAAACATGAACTGAGCATTCACCAAACACTCTCTGATTCTGAAGACATTTTATTGAATATAGGGCATATCCTCCTTGGAATTACTTGAAGTTTAATATTTAGATGTTCTTAGTAAGGTACTAATATGAAGATTAGTCAATTAACTCCTTAAACAGGTACTCAACCCTGCTTGAATCCTTCTCTCATTCCTTAGTATGTATTACATTCCCCTGGGATATTGGACCTGCCAAAACTATTTCATAAATTCTCCTCACACAGTTAATATCCAAGCATCAGTTAATGCGCCTGCATATTCTTCACTGAAAAAATAGAAACCATTGGACAGGAGTTCCTCCTGAAAGCAAATGGACCAATCTATTTCATTTGCACCCAACTTTGCTGGCCTTCCTCCCAAAGTCACAACGCAACGCCCTGGTCCTGTCAGAGTCTAGTCCTCCCTGATCTCTGCAGTCCCGCCCCTTTTTTCCTCAATGACTTGTTTTCCATGCCCAAACTACTTTGAAATCTTCTTTCTTTTTTATAGTCCCCCTTCCAAGTAAAAATAGTCTACAATAATGGTTCTCAGTGTGGTCTCTGGACCATCAGGCCATCAATCCATCTGGGATTTGTTAGAAACACAAACACTTGGGCCTCACCCCAGACATACTGAATTAGAAACTCTGGGGCTGAGGTCCTGCAATTGTTTTAACAAGTCCTCTGCACTGTTTGGATCACACGAAAGCTTGAGACCCACTGCTCTATGGCTGATATGCCTCAACTCTCCCCCAAACCTGTGTGCAAAAACAAGGTGGACAGATCACCAGGACCCCAGTGAGCACACTGTCTGGAGCAGTTGCTGTCCTTGGCCCTCTCTCAATCCTATTTTTATTAATGACTTGGATGGAGGCACAGATGGTGCACTGATCTCATTAACAGATGATAGAGACAATGGGGCAGACACATTGAATGATGACATTAGTACCCAAAGATGGGAAGAGAGTTCTATCAGGATGAAACTTAATAGGGCATATTAGTTAGGATTAGATTCAGCTTTGAGTGACAGAAAACCCAAAATAGTATTGGCTTAATAAAAGATAAATGTGTTTCTCATTCATATAAATGAACTCTGGAAGTCAGCGTGATGACTCTGTTCCTGAGAATTCCCAGGACTCAAGCTCCCCATCTGTCCTATTTCTAAGGTATGGCCTTACCCTCAAGTCAAAGATGCTGACATCCATGTTTCAGATAGCAAAATGGAGGAAAGA